AAACATACATCTTGGCGTTGACATAGTAACAAAAGTACCATAGAACTATAAATTTTTTGAGCGGGTTCTTGCATTGATTTGCGCGATGCCTCAAAGGATTCATATAGGATAATTAGCAATGAAAACTCTTGGTGAGCAATTTAAAATGTAATGGCGAAAGGATGAGCTAAAAACTTTGACGACAAGTATAACAAAATGGTAAATTCGTCAACTGATGATTCCGTAAAACTATAACTTCAACACTGATTCAAGATATTAATAACTCCGTACTAATATATTAGACAGACAATCTCCGGTTTATGTTCATCAAGAACAGAGGCCAATTGACAGAGTCACAAAAGTGTTTTAGCGGTCATATTCAAACGCCAAAAAAGAATGATAATCCATCAGCTCCCGTTTCGCATACAAAAATATGCTTGCATAATCGATAGCCATTTAATTAATGATAAAATCAAAATCGCCCAAATATAATTATTCTCTGCACATTTTCATATTTGCTGAAAGAATTTTCTTCATTCTTTTTGTTTCATCTTTGACCTAGATCATACAAATGATTAGCGTTTACACAAAATCTAACAACATATTATTAATTACATTGTACGTGAGAAAAGCAGATTGCACTACAGAGTACACCTGATTTATAGTCTGCTCAAGAGATTTTAAGTTTTCCATCTAATTACCTCAACACCATTATTAGCTTGCATTCCGGTAAAAATAAATGAAGGTAAACAAATTTTAATATATCATAATAATCTCTTTCTATTAAATCAAGTCTTCTATTTAATCTATGCAGAGCTTGGCAGGAGAATAAGTAGTACAAAGATGTTAAAGATATTTTGTGGTGAGGAGACTTTGGAGCCATAACATATGGTTCAAAGTCAGTTTTTGGATACCAATAATGAGTTTGCTAATAGCAAAATAGTATTCAAAATACACACACATGTATATTGACAAGACACTAATAGTGAAGCAGTATCCAGAGCAATCTATGGCAAGAAATTTTGGTTATAGGCTTATAGCAGGAAAAATTAGGATTCTTGATAAGAGATAGCGGCTCGTAACATTTTATTAATTGCACAAATTCTAGAGAAAAAGAAAAAAGATAAAGCAATATAAGAGAACTCAAGGAACTTCTTCGCTAATTACTTAAAAATAAACTGAATAGGTTGACATGAGCACAAGAACCAGAAGAACTAGATCACATAACATTTTATACTACGAAAATCATTTGATGAGACTCGAGGAATTAACTTTGATTTTCAGTCCGAAGTCCATAAACTTATCAGAGAGGAGGGGGAGGGAGGGAGGGGGGAGAGAGAGCGAGAGCGAGAGCGAGAGAGAGAGCTAACACAGAGATA